CTCTCTGCTCTCTGCTCTCTCTCTGAGCTGCAGATCCTCTCTCTCTCTCTCTCTCAGTCCGTTTGTCTCTTCACTTCCGTCACATTCACAGCCCTTTCAGTAAATGGGGATCAGGAACTCCCATCTGCACTTCCACACCCACCACAGTCACTCCACCCCCGGGAGAGAGGGGGGGGGAGGGGGGGATGTGGGTGGGGGGTGGGGATGTGGGTGGGGGGTGGGGATGTGGGTGGGGGGTGGGGATGTGGGTGGGGGTGGGGATGTGGGTGGGGGTGGGGATGTGGGGGGGGTGGGGATGTGGGTGGGGGGTGGGGATGTGGGTGGGGATGTGGGTGGGGGGGTGGGGATGTGGGTGGGGATGTGGGTGGGTGGGTGGGGATGTGGGTGGGGGGGTGGGGATGGGGGGGTGGGGATGGGGTGGGGATGTGGGTGGGGGGGGTGGGGATGTGGGTGGGGGGGGAGAGAAGAACTTTCATTGAAGGGCGAAACAGAAGAAGCCGTCCACCCTCGAGTGCGTTTCCTTCAAGCAGTAACATGTATAGCACTGCCCGAGGGCTGTTCTTCTGTCCGACACACACACACGCACCCCCCCCTTCCCCCCCCCCCCCAGTACATGCTTCAAACACGTCTGAGAACATGGCCTGAGTCTTTCACGCGGGACGGGTTAACCGGACGTGCCTGCGTCCTGCCTGGAGAAGCGGGTCTCGAGCCGGCGCGGCGGGACTTCGAGACGGAAGATACTTTCTTCCCGTGTCCTGCCCAATCCTCCCCCCACCAACCCCCCCACCCCCCCCCACCCCCCCCCCCCGAATTGAGTACAGCTCTCTCGCGTAGGATAGCGCCTCGGAGGACAGCTGCTGAGGGGGTGGGGGGGTTGGGCAGAGAGGGGAGGGGAGGGACCCAAGGCACGGTCGACAATGTAGGCTTTCAGGCGGGACGTGACGACGGGGGGGAGAGAGGGGGGGGGGTGGGGGTGAGACGCAGGGAGTTCCGGAGGTTAGGGTCGTCGAACTGGAAAGCTCGGCAACCGGCGATGGTGCCGGTGGTCGGAGGGCTTCGAACGGGGAGAGCGTGCGTGTGTGTGTGAGGGGGAGTGGGGGGTTGGCGGGGGGCGGGGGGGGGAGGCGCGGGTGAGTGGGTGAGTGTGCGCCGGGGCGGGAAGGGGTTATTTGTAGTTGAGGGGGAGAACTTTGAAGTCCACTCAATTAACCTCTCACCTCGCGGCTGCTCTTTGTCAGGCCTTTGCCGCGCGCAGAACGGCTGGTTTGGGGCGTCTGCGAATGACAGTCACTACGCACCCGTGCACCGGGGAGGCGGTTACTCTGCGCTACTCTGAAACCGTTCGAGGCTTTGCAATATTCTGAATATTCTGCGCGTGAACAAAGAAAAGGCACGTCGTCTTGAATCGAACGTCCGAACCCATTATAACTTGGTAGCTGTGGGGGTGGGAGGTGGGTGGGGGGGGGGGGGGGTGGTGTTTAAAATGAGTCCCCAGACTATAACAGAGCGTGTTACGGTCCGACTGTCTCGGGGCCGCTCTGCTGACGTCACAGAGCTCGCTCCAGGAAGGACGCTGATCGGTCAGCGGTGCGAGTCTCTTTGTGATCCTTGCCGGGGCCACCGCTGACATCTACTAATAATAATAATAATCCTTGCATTTGATATAGCGCTTTTCACGTCGGGAGGACGTCCCAAAGTGCTTCACAGAACACACTGTAAAGTGAATTGACTGTATATTTGTGGGCGAACGCGGCAGCCAATTGCGCACAGCAATGTCCCACAAACAGTCATGGATTGAAAATGACCAATTTATTATTGTTTTTGGTTTTGGAGGGATTATTATTAGGCTCTGTGTGGAGTAAGGAAACTTGCCCAAGGTTTCGCCCTCTGCCTGGAATTGAACTCAGGTCTCTCGCTTGCAAAGCGAGTGCTCTAACCACTGAGCTACAGGACTCCACATCTGCGGGTCTCCCGCACCTGTGCACCACGGCTCAGGAAAACAGAAGCAGGAAGCACACCGCACGGACCCGCACACACACACACACACACCCACGGTGTGCCCGCGTTCGTTCTATCCCAGCCCGCTTCGCGCCCGATGCCGCGCCCGCGACTGAGCCCAGCTCCACGCGCAAAGGACGGTAACTTTACTTGGGAGGCGGGAGAGAGGTCCGCAGCTGCGCGAGTCGGAACTGCCTTTTGTGTTGCGGGCACGAGAAGCAATGCACGTACGTCAAGGGGGGTTCCGTCCGTCGGGTGAGACGTTCAACCGAGTTCCCCACTGCCTGCTCAGGTGGATGCGAACCACCCTGTGGCACTATTCGGAAGGAGAAGGGAGGGTCTCCCAGTGTAACCACCCCCCCCAGATAAAGCGGCCGTTCGCTTGAGTTGCTAATCATTAACAGCATTCTAACCTCGAGGAAGGGAACCATAAGTAAAATAAACCCAGTAGTTAGGTTGCAAGTTAGCAGCTTTACACCCTGACGCGGACGAGATCCTGAATGGCGTTCGAGTTCAATGGCATTTAACGTACAGGAGTTTTTAAATGGGAGGTGAGAAGAATTCTAGGAGGAAGGGAATGCAGAGGGACGAGGCGTTCAACAGCCCAAAGCACCAGCAAGGAGCAAACTACTGAACTGTGTCTGAACGGCGATATCAGATTTGTGTTCAGTTGTGAAATACAAGCGGATCAATACAGGCAATTACTGTCAGGTTTAAAATCACCGTCCGTAAAATAGCCTGTGAGAAGCAATCAATGGCACACGAGCACTGTTGGAGGTATCACTGCTAACTGTCTGCAATCATCAAAATGGGCGTGGGTGGATATTAATAATAATAATAATAGTCAGCAAGGTGTATCACCATGAGAGAGCATCACTGTCAAATTGGAATTAAGAGTATATAGGTCCAGTAGAGGAACTCGTATCAATCTATACTTAATATTAATGCTTAGAATTTGGTATAACGCCTTTGAAGTCAGGAGGATAGGCCGAAACACTTCACGGGACATGGCCGTCGTGTACGTTTCGTGGAAAAAAACACAGCAACCGATTTGCTCGCAGAAATGTAACATATAGAGGCGTGAAGTGAACGAATCACTTATACTATTTGGGGATAGTTGGCCAGGACACTGGGAGAAATTCCTTTCTGTTTTCAAAAATTGCCGTGGGAGCTTTCTGAGGAGAGCTGAGACAAGTGACATTCCTCTCTTCTTTTCGGTAATTGATATGATTGTGTAAACCAAAATTGTACTGTAAATTGTCGTCCTGTTTAGGCTTGTTAAGCAAATACTTTTGCCTTGAATTTAGTTGACAATCTAAATCAAACAGGCTGCTTCGATTTACACCACCCATGCCTCTCATCCCTTTAAAGCTATGGATCATGCCATCTCTCGCACTTTTTTAATTGGAAATAAATACTTTAGCTCTGAAGCCTCATCTCATAAAGCCAAAGCGCTAAGTCCCCTGTTGGTAATGGAGTCCTTTCCGATGCTTCAATTCCTTCCTGAGGAGTTAATGATGATGTACTTTTCACTTGACGTTAGTGAAGTAACACGAATAGATGCTTCGCAGTGTTCTCGTGTGTCGAAACAAATTCAAGGTCAAATTTTGCACCGGGTTTTTTTATTCTAGGGAAATGCTTCTGCCCCCGGACTTTTCATGTTCGTGAACTTACCTTTTGCTGTGAGTTCTTGAGATTCTTGAAGCAATTTCCAGGGCGAGCAAGTCGACTGATTCCAGTTTGAAACCTTTCCAAAATAAAATTCAGCCTCCAGCGATCCATCTGCTGCTGATATGGTAACAGCAGGTTAATCCCTACGTACAACAATAATAGAGAAGGTAAACCCGCAACAATACTATCTGGTTTGTCAAAACAGCAGGACAAGAAGCACAGACTTGAAAAGTGCCATTTTAGTACAGACACAACACTAAGGGAATGGGTTACCAGGAAGGGACGTTGGAATTATTTAAGAAGCAGCTCGACGCCGCTATGTGAAGAAGTTGGGTTGGTACTTTGAAGGATAACGATAAAATGAGTCAAAGTTGTTGTTGTTGTTGTCAAAGGGTCTCCATCTGAAACTATCTTGTGATATCCTTTCCTTAGTATATAATCCGTTGACACTTAACGTCCTTATTATATATAAAAAGTATGTATGGGACTTTGAGCTCACAGTCTCGGCTGACACAATGCAGTGTTGTTGTGCATTGCATCGTCAAAGATGGAGTCATTAAACCAAGATCCAGTCTGCTTGTTCGGGTGGATGTTAAGGATCCTACGGCACTGTTTGAAAAGAAGAGGAGTTTCTTTCGATATCCTGGCCAACAATTCCCAAAGAGAATTGACTGCTGGCTGCGCTGCACTCTACAAACATTTCTGTGAAGTGCTTAGAAACATCTTGATGTTGTGGTGAGGCGTTATCTCAAATGCGAGGATTCTTATGAAATGATTTCAATATGACCATTGAAACTAACCGTTCGTACAAGTGAGACCGACTTTCACGACTTTAATATGTGTATCTTACAGATGTGTCGGCTTCTGAAACCCAGGCTCAGCGTAACCCATCCACTCCTCTTGTGTCTCCTCTCCTCCCGTGAACTTTCCAAGTCTCCTGTCTTGCGGGCTATAGGCCTTCAGCTGGGTTCCTCAATAGGAGCATTAAAAAATAATTAAAGTCCTTAGCACATTTTATATATACTGTATGTAATATATAATATATGCAATCACTGCACTTGCCAATCGGATTCAAATATATCACACCATCACAAGATTGGTTTGGTTGAGACGTCTCAAAGTGATTCACAGAATACACTGCTAAGTGCGTTGACTGCATTTATTTTGTGGGCGAAACGCAGCAGCCAATTGTGCGCAGCAGCGTCCCACAAACAGTCGTGGATTGAGTGACCAAAATATTATTATTATTTTTTTTGGAAGGGATTATTACCCCCAGAAAAGTGATCCGCCAATCAACTAACAACTGGGTTCCTACTTACTGCTCGGTAAACAGAGGCGTGTGGAGTAAGGAAACTTGCCTAAGGTTTCGCCCTGTTGGGAATTGAACCCAGGTCCTCCTGCTTGTGAGGCGAGTGCTCCGACCAATACACTACAATGGCCTCTTATTCCGCTGTCTTATTGCATCCTAAAGTATTAATCTGGA